TTTCTTTTACTTTATATGGTCGTTAAGTCTCCTTATAAGTACTACTTCATGGTTTTCGTCTTTTACATGTTTTCAGTAACCTGAAAAAAATTAGTCATTCTTGTGATACATGAAATTCTTTTTCTGATAGAGATGCATTTTTTTCAGTTTACAGGGCTCGAACTGGGTCCGTAAATCCCATAAAAGTCCGAAAATTTGCTTCAAGTCTGTAAAAGTCAGTTTTTTTGAAAAAAGATCCATAAAGTCCGTAATTTTATTGAGAAAAAATGACGAAAAGTTCGTAAATTATACGACATAATTTGGAGAATTTTAGAGAAAATTACAAATGATTGCAGAAATTCAATTATTTTCAAAAATTTCCTTTCTTCAATGATTTTTAATATCTTCTATTTTAATAAAATTTTCCTAAAGAATTCAATTATTTAAAAAAACTTTAATGAAATTCTTCGCAAACTTTTAATTATCTTCATAAAATAATAAAAATTTCATAAGAATTCAATTATTTACAAATTTTTTATAAATTTCTTCGCAATCATTCAATTATTTTCGTAAATAATAAAATTCTTACATAGGGATTCAATTATTTTCGTAAATAATAAAATTCTTTTTAGGAATTCAATTATTTTCATAAATAATAAAACTCATTGCAGAATTTCAATTATTTTTAATACAATTTTAATCGAATTCCTCGAAAATGTAATTATTCTTAAAAATTATATTAAAATTAGTCAAAAGAATTCAATTATTTAAAAATTTATTGATAAAAATTTAATTCTTTATTAGAATTTAATTTTAAGAATATCTCGTCAAAATTTCAAATATCTTTTCAAATAATATAATTCTTCTCCAAAAGTCAATTGTTTAAAAAATTTTTAATAAAATTCTCTGCAAAATTTCAATTTTATTTTTAATATAATTATTGTAATCGAATTCCTCAAAAAATGTAATTATTCTATGACAATTTTATTAAAATTCGTAGAATGAATTCAATTATTCCATTATCTTTCAATTATTTTAAACTTTATTCATAAAGTTCTTTATCAGAATTCAATTTTAAGAAAGATTCAATTATTTAATAAATTATTTATTTTTGTATTTAAATAATTGAATTCTCATAGAATTCTCTAGTCATAATTGATTTTAAAATGGAGTTTAGTTAAAATTTCAGATTAAAATTGAATATTAAAAGCATTAGGGCGTGAATTTTTAAAAATAATTGAATTTTGAAAAGGTTTCAAATTAAAATCATTGAAAATCTGAATTTTTCATATTTTTATTTTTTTAACTAACAATTCTGTTGAATTAATTTTTTTTGAAAAAGTTCAATTGAATTTTTCTTAAATTATTTCAAGTTTTTATTTTCAAATATATATTTAATTGAAGGATTTAGGAATAATTGAAATTTTGTAAAATTGAATTGTAAACAAAAATGAATTTGAAAATTCTCAAAGAACTTATTCAAAAATTATTAAAAATAATGCTTTTATACAAGAATTTTAATTAAAAACGCGAAAAAAATTTAATTTTGGAAAAATTGAAAATTATTGCAGAAATTCAATTATTTTCAAGAGTAATAATATTGTTCACAAAAATTAAATATTGTTCGAAAAATATTAAAATTCTTCTTAGGGATTCAATTATTTTCACAAATAATAAAATTCATCGCAGCATTTTAATTATTTTTAATACAATTTTAGTCAAGTTTCTCGAAAACTGTAATTTGTTATTCTTAAAAATTTTATTAAAATTCGTAGAAAGAATTCAATTATTTAAAAATTTGTTGAAAAAATTCTTCATGGGAATTAAATTTTAAGAAACATTCAATTCTTCAATAAATTATTTATTTTTCTACTTAAATAATTGAATTCTCGTAGAATTTTTTAATAAAACTTGATTTAAAAATTAATTTCAGTTAAAATTTTAGATAATAATTGAATATTAAAATCAATATAGGAGAATTTCAATTATTTTTAATACAATTTTAATCGAATTTTTTCGAAAAATGTAATTATTCTCGAAAAATTTTATTAAAATTCGTCGAAAGAATTCAATTCTATAAAAATTTGTTGATAAAATTCTTTATGGGAATTGAATTTTAAGAAAGATTCAATTATTTAATAAATTATTTATTTGCATTTTATTTGTATTTAAATAATTGACTTCTAGTAGAATTTTCTAATAAAAATTGATTTAAAAATGAATTTCAGTTTAAATTTGAGATAATAATTGAATATTATAAGCAATATAGCGTCAATTTTTAGAAATGATTTAATTTTGAAATTAATTTTTTTGCAAAAGGGTCAGAATTCGTGAAATTTTCACAGAAAATAAAAAGTATTTTTTTTTTAAATCGAAGTGTTGAAAAAACATTTCTATTTGGCCTTAAGAATGTGTCCACCAAAAAACAGGAAAAAAAATTATTTTTTATAAAAGTTATTGCAAAATTAATTTATTAGCAACTTTTTAAACAAAATTTTATTTCTCCTAAATGAATGAACCGATTTAAATGAACCAAGCGGGAATATAAAGGGGATAAAATATACTTTCGTTTAGAATTAGAAAATTTCTAAAAAGTTTATTTTTTAATAATTATTTAATAAATTTTTTATAAACAATTAATTTTTTTGTAATGTTCTGCGCCTTTTAAAAATTTGAAAAAAATATTAACATACACTTAAACTATAAGAAATCAAAATCCGTTGAGAAAATTTTGGAGCGACAATTATTTTAAAAGTTATAAACAAATTATATTGGCGCGGTGTTGTGCATCAACGCTGAACTTAGTTTTTGATCATTTTTATCAATTTTTATGGTTATATAATTGAATAAAAATGTTAATTTGACAGTGTTTTGTTCATTTCGTAGTTAAAAATAATGTTTTAATTCTGAAAATCATCAAAATCGCATCTCCGTTCAATATAATTTGTTTATAACTTTTAAAATAATTGTCGCTCCAAAATTTTCTCAACGGATTTTGATTTCTTATAGTTTTAAGTGTATGTTAATATTTTTTTCAAATTTTTAAAAGGCGCAGAACATTAAAAAAAATTAATTGTTTATAAAAAATTTATTAAATAATTATTAAAAAATAAACTTTTTAGAAATTTTCTAATTCTAAACGAAAGTATATTTTATCCCCTTGATACTCCCGCTTGGTTCATTTAAATCGGTTCATTCATTTAGGAGAAATAAAATTTTGTTTAAAAAGTTGCTAAAAAATTAATTTTGCAATAACTTTTATAAAAAATAATTTTTTTTCCTGTTTTTTGGTGGACACATTCTTAAGGCCAAATAGAAATGTTTTTTCAACATTTCGATTTAAAAAAAATACTTTTTATTTTCTGTGAAATTTTCACGAATTCTGACCCAAAAGTTTAATTGCATTTTTCATATTACTTCAAGTTTTTATTTTCTAATATTTATTTAATAGAAAAATTTACGATTAATTGAAATTTCGTAAAATTGAATATTGTAAACAAATGGTTTTGAAAATTATCAAAGAACTTTTTCGAAAATTATTAAAAATAATCGATTTAAAGAAGAATTTCTGTTAAAAATTCTTGAAAATAATAATTGAATTGATAATGAATTTATTACTCGGTCATCTTTAATTATTATAAAACATGAAGAAATCGATGACTCCGAGTCGATCGGAGTTGAAGACTCGGACTCGATGACTCCGAGTCTTCGACTCGGAGTCATCGATTTCTTCATGTTTTATAGTTATGAAAAATTTAATTTGTAGTTTTAAGTAAAATGTTCTCTTATTTGACTCGGACTTGTTATATTTTTGTCAGTAATTATCCCGTAATTTTTCATTTTTGGTCCGTAAAGTCCGCATTTTTAACTACTTTCACTGGTTCGAGCCCTGAGTTTAGAAAAACAGTATACTTGAATTTATCAATTAAATTATTTTTAATTTTTATGTATACAAGTTATTAACTATTATTATTATTTATTTGAAAAATTTTATCTCTGTAGATATTTTTTCATAAAGACACTATTTTGAATGAAGTTGGTTTTTTTCTTTAATTTTTTTGGAATTGTTCTTTTTTTGGGGAGAGGGGATTCTGTTGTTGGTACTTAGAGGGCCCTTTATCGAAAAAAGTGAAGTGAAAAAAAATAAATAAAAAAAAAATTGATAAAATCAAAGGAGGATATAAAATTATGATGGCATGTCTATATCCTTGACACAGGTTGCCCGTAAATTGGCCATGGTCGAGGCCGATCTAGAACGCGCCGAAGAACGTGCGGAGGCTGGAGAGTCGTAAGCATCGTTTACTTCACGGAGTGCGGTTGTTTCTTGTTGTTGTCATTGCCGTTACAAATCCTTTATCGGTTTTTTTAATTCCATGCCTGTTCCATTGGTATACGACACCTCGACTTCTATCTCGCACGATGGACAACTTTGAGACACTTTTAGACCATTTAGTCATATTTTGCATCCCCCTTTGCATAGTTTATTACCCAAATGCCACTCGATTCCATCTCAAAGTCTATTTTTCCTTCTCATTAAATTTTATACTGGAAATTTAAAAGAAATTTTAAATTTAGTAGTTCATTTTCAAAACTTCGTTTAAAACATTGAAAGAAATTAATGTTAATTAATGTAAATAAATGTATTCAATAATAGAAAAGATATTTAAATGAAAAATCAGTTTTTATAATCAAATGAACGGTGGTAAAATTTTCAAAAAAGATTTTAAGATGTGAACTGAGAATTTATATAGACAAAGGCACGAATAATTATTTTTTTATCGTTCACAACAAAGACAGATGTGATTCCAATGAGAGAGAAAGAGAAATGGGATAAAGCAGCTGAAAAAGGACGAAAAGAAGAAGAGTTTATGTTTATATTAGATTTTTTCACTTCCACTTTTTTATCCGCACAAATCACTTTTTGCACGCAATAAGTTATTGTTGTCGACCCCCATTTTTGCCCTCCACTTTTTTTATTTTGTTTTGGCTTTTGGCATGACTTGTGTGGCTATTGATCGCAGGTTGCCCGGAAGCTAGTCATGATGGAGCAGGATCTCGAGCGCGCTGAGGAGAAGTCCGAGCTGTCTGAAAAGTAAGTGTGATCGTTGCATGAAAAATTTATGTACATATATATACATAGTCAGTGTAAGTCTCCCACACAGACTCTCTCTCTCTCCTTCTCTCTCAATGTTAAACTTCCTATGTCAAAAAATCTGCAACACAATGGAAAATTAGCTTTTTCTTATATTTTGTCAAATCCTATTTATCTTTTTCTCTTTTTTCCTCTGAAAAGAAAACTTTTCTATTCTCTCTTTCTTTCTCTCTCTTTCTTTCTCTCTCATTTTCCTTCGTAACATTTTGACATTGCTTTATATTTTGCTTTTTAAATTATGAAACAAAATATTGTTCTATTCTGTCTTTCAAGAATTTCTTTTATTGAAATATTAAAAATATTTACGAAAATTCAAATTATTGCAAAATGTGAGACTAACTCTACCGAGTATCGAAATCCAGGACCTATCAATTGAAAAAGGACGAAAAGTTTGTAAATTGTACGATATAATTCTCGTCAAAATTTCAATTATATTTAGAAATATAATTAAATGCTTCTTTAAAATTCAATTATTTTCAAAAATTTTAATAAAATTCCTCGCAAAATTTCAATTATTTTCAAAAATTTACCTCAATTTTTAATAATTTTTAATAAATTTGTTTTTAAATAATTGAATTCTTTTGGAAAATATTTTCCAAAAGAATTCAATTATTTAAAAACAAATTTATTTAAATTCTTCGCAAAACCCTTAAATATTTTTATAAAATAATAAAAATTTCACAGGAGTTCAATTATTTACAATTTTTTTTTATAAATTTCTTCGCAATCGTTCAATTATTTTCAAAAATAATAAAACTCATTGCGGAATTTCAATTATTTTTAATACAATATTAATCAAATTGCTCGAAAAATGTAATTATTCTTAAAAAATTTATTAAAATTTGTCGAAAAAAATTAATTATTCAAAAATTTGTTGAAAAAATTATTTTCATAAATAATAAAATTTTTACACAGGGATTAAATTATTTTCGTAAATAATAAAATTCTTTTTATGAATTCAATTATTTTTATAAATAATAAAATTCTTACAGGGATTCAATTATTATTTTCGTAAATAAAATTTTTTTTAGAAATTCAATTATTTTCATAAATAATAGAATTCATTATATAATTTAAATTACTTTTAATAAAATTTTAATCGATTTCCTCGAAAGATATAATTATTCCTAAAAATTTTATTAAAATTCGTCAAAAGAATTGAATTATTTAAAAATTAATTTATAAAATTCTTTATAAAAATTCAATTTTAAGAAACATACAATTATTCAATCAATTATTTATTTTTGTATTTAAATAATTGAATTCTCGTAGAATTTTCTAATAAAAATTGATTTGAAAATGAATTTCAGTTCAAATTTCAGATTATAATTGAATATTAAAACAATTAGAGCGTCAATTTTTAGAAATAATTGAATTTTAAAAAGGTTTCAATTTAAAATCTTTGAAAATCTGAATTTTTCATATTTTTAACTAAAAATTTTTTGGACTTAATTCTTTTGAAAAAGATTAAATTGCGGATTTTTTTTTTGAAATTATTTCAAGTTTTTTTTTCAAAATATAATATTTAATTGAAGAATTTACGGAAAATTGACATTTTGTAAAATTGAATTGTAAACAAATGAATTTGAAAATTCTCATAGAACTTTTTCAAAAATTATTTAAAAAATAATGCATTTATAGAAGAATTTTAGTTAAAAACACGAAAAAAATTTAATTTTGGAAAAGTTACAAATTATTGCAGAAATTCAATTATTTTCAAGAGTAATAATATTCTTCGCAAAAATTAAATTTTGTTTAAAAATATTAAAATTCTTCTTAGGGATTCCATTATTTTCACAAATATAGTAAAATTCATCGCAGAATTTCAATTTTTTTAGAATACAATTTTAATGGTATTTCTCGAAAAATTTTATTAAAATTCGTCAAAAAAATTCAATTATTTAAAAATTTGTTGAAAAAATTCTTCATGGGAATTGAATTCTAAGAAACATTCAATTGTTCAATAAATTATTTATTGTTCTATTTAAATAATTGAATTCTCGTAGAATTCTCTAATAAAAATTGATTTAAAAATGAATTTCAGTTATAATTTTAGATGATAAATTGAATATTAAAAGCCATATAGCGTGAATTTTTAGAAATCATTGAATTTTGAAATTAATTTTTTTGAAAAAGTTTAATTGAATTTTTTTGTATTATTTGAAGTTTATATTTTTGAATATATATTTAATTGAAGAATTTACGAATAATTGAAATTTCCTATAATTGAATATTGTAAACAAGTCGATTGCAGAGTAGTAGTTTCCCATTTTTTTTATAATTTTAATTTTTTAAATTTCATATTTAACGACATCAAGTATAACTGTGTTGTGAAATTGATGATTGTGACAATATTTGTTTACGCGTGAATAATTTCTGCAAAATTTGAAATATGAAAATATTTTTTTTATTGCTGAAAAAAATGGTTAATTTTTGTGAATAATAATGAATCATTGTGTTGCGGCTTTTGAGACCCAGGATCTTAATTGCGAGAAAAATAATTACTTTATTAATACGTTGATATTTTGCAGCAAAATCGTCGAGCTGGAAGAGGAACTACGCGTTGTTGGCAACAATCTTAAGTCTCTTGAAGTGTCGGAGGAGAAGGTATATAATTATTTATTCTATTATTCACCAAAATTAGATATGCCCATAAAATTATTTAAAGATAAATTTCTAATTAATAATAAGTACTATTCAATGAGTAGATAATTTAATGTAATTGAATCTCAAAATTCTATAAGTTGTGTTATTACAGTGCGCAAGTCCTTTATCCAGACTTTGAATGTTGCGCGGATTGAGTTATAAAATTGGGTGGTTCAATTATTTAATATTTCTTTCTAGCATAGTTAATTATTCAGATTATTAATTACAATTATTAAAATACAATAATTTTTTTTATTTAGTAAAATTATTAAAAACGATAATTATTTTTCAATGAATAATTTCATTTTGTTAATTTTTGTTTCCCGTCAATTATGTTGTAAATTTGATTCCTTTGAAAAAAGCCTGAATATTAAAATCATAAATATAGTATTAAATAAAATATAATAATGTTTGAATGTAATGTTGAAATATATTGTAAATAGGCAAACCAGCGCGAAGAGGAGTACAAGAACCAAATTAAAACCCTCACGACGCGTCTTAAGGAGGTACACGTCCTTCGGGAGTGTTAAAAATTTTGCTGATTCGTTTTTTATACGCATTGCTCTTTTTAAACGCACTAATACACCTCCTTTTAATAAATAATATTAATTTCGTTTAATCAATTCTTGCACGATCGTGTTACTCAACGTTAAAATTACATTTTACATTTACACCAAAAAAAAATTAAAATACATACCTTTTTTTATAAAAAAAAATCAATTTGCATAACTAACAGCTTTTGTGTTTGTTTTATGTGTTTTTACTAAATTTAGGCTACTCAGAGAGAGGAGACATATGAGAGTCAGGTGAAGATTCTTGATAGTCAATTAAAAGAGGTGAGTTTCAATTATTATCGAAAACGTTTATTCCGGTAAATTTCAGAAAATTATTTTATATTTGAATAAAAAAAATATTTTTTAATAAAAGAATATGTAACGTTTTCATTATAATCAAAAATTTTTTAAATTTAACTTTATACTGTTAACTTGATAAACATTTTTTTTCTTTTAATTTTAAAAGTAGTAAAACTTAAATAATTATTTACAAAACCTTCATTTTTTTTCTATTTCTGACAAGAATGAATTTTTTTAAATTATTTAATTATTTCAAAAGTTTTAACGCATTTATCTTAATAAATAACAAAATTCTTCACAAAAATTCAATTATTTTTAGGAGTTAAAAAAAAATTCTCTGCAAAATTCAATTATTTTTGATAAGTAACAATATTTATCACAAGAATTCAATTATTTTCAAAAGTAATAAAATTCTTCGAAGAAAATCAATTATTATTAAAAATTTAAATGAATATCTCGTCAAGAATTCAATTATCTTTATAAATAGCAAAATTTTTCGCCAAAAATTCAATTATTTCCAAAAATTTAAATAAAATTCTTTGCAAAATTTCAATTATTTTCAAAAGTTTTTCGCAATTCAATGATTTTTAATATTTACTATTTTCATAAAATTTATCAAATAATTTAATTATTGAAAAGAATAATATTTCATTTAGAAATTCAATTATTTTCATCACAGAATTTTAAATATTTTTAATATAATTTTAAATAAATTCCTCGAAAAATGCAATTTATTCTTAAAAATGATATTAAAACTTGACGTAAGAATTCATTTTGAAGAAACATTCAATTGTTCAATAAAACAATAAAATTCGTTGTAATAATTCAATTATTTTCATAATTTTTAAGCAATTCTGCAAAAAAAATTTAATTATCTTGATAAACAAAAAAAATTCTTCCCATTAAATCATAATTATTTTAAAGAATTTTAATAAAATCCTTTTCCAAATTTCAATTATGTTGATAAATATCAAAATTCATAACAAGAATTCAATTCTTTTGAAAAGTAATAAAATACTTTGCAAAAGTTCAATTATTTTCATAAATTATTATTTAAATTCTTCTCAGGAATTCAATTATTTAAAAAAATTTTAATAAAATTATTCAAAAAGTTTTCAATATTTTTTTGAAAATTTATTATAAAATTTTTTAATATAATAAATTTTAGTAAAATTTTAATTAAACCCCTTGAAAGAAATTAATTATTTTCAATAGTTGTTAATAAAATTCCTCGTAAAAATTAAATTTTAAGAAACATTCAATTATTGAACAAATTATTTATTTTTGTATTTAAATAATTGAATTCTCGTAAAATTTTCTAATAAAAATTGATTTGAAAATAAATTTCGGTTAAAATTTTAGATAATAATTTAGGTAATAGTAAAAGCATTGCAGCATGAATTTTTAGAAATAATTGAATTTTAAAAAGGTTTCAAATTAAAATTAATGTAAATTAAAATTTTTCGTACTTTTAAGTTATAATTGATTTAAAGAAGAATTTTAGTTGAAAATTCTAGAAAATAATAAGTAATTGAATTTAAATTAAAAAAATAATTTCGATGAAGTTGGAGTAACAATATTCTTATATAAAATAATAATTTTATCACTGTGATCGATATCTTCGTGTTTTTACATCAAAATTCTTTGAATATTATCTTTTAAGTTATTGAATTTCAAAAAGGTTTGAATTTAAGATTTTTTTAAATATATAATTCTGTCGAATTTAAAAAATTAATTGTGAAGATTTTAAAAATTTAACATGTACAGTTTTCCGAGTAAAGTTTAAACGTTATATAATTTAAAATTTAAATCGGTATAGTATTTGAACCACTCCGAAAATTTCATCTAGAATGACCCATTTCTTTATTTGGTTATTTGTCAAAAAAAACTAATAAAAAGTACAATAATTATCCTGGAAATGGAAGTTCTTACTTCTTCTGAAGGTATTTAAGGCGTGTGTGGATTTTATTTTTATCGAATCTAATTGTGTTTCAAGTTTGACCCTTTAATCAATAATTTTTTTTATTTTAACAAAACTGAATGTGATTTTACTTCCTTATAAGGAAGCTTCGAATTAAAGTATTTTTAGCATGTCTATAATTGGCTGTTGTTGCTTTTACTGCAATTTAATTCTTTATTTCGATGAAGAATTTGCATTCTTATCGGGATGTCTTTTTCGTTTATGAAATTTGACCATAAAATTATGTCATTTTTCTAAATTTATGTATTTTTGTTAGCACAATATTAATGTGTTATTGTTATTAAGAAGAACAATTATTTTTATACAATAAATTAACTATAATAATTTTTAGCTAGTTACGAATATTTCTTATTTCATTATTTGTAAAAATAAAATAGGATTATTTTTCTCTGCTCTCACTTGTTTGAAATTTTTTATTAAAATTAAAATAAATAAATGATTAAATAAATTACATTTGACATCCTGATAAGTTTTATTATTGGATTATTTGTATTGCAATATAGTAAATTGATAAATTTTTTCACAGGCTGAGGCACGTGCTGAATTCGCTGAGAGATCCGTGCAGAAGCTCCAGAAGGAGGTCGACAGGCTCGAAGGTGCGTATTCTCAGTTATTTTCCCCATTCACTATTACATTAATCATCAAATTTCACACTTTTAATGATTTTAGAAAAAGATTACTGCAAAGAAAAAATGAGAAAAGAATTTCTCAATTCAATATTTTTTATTAGTACAAAGTACACAGTAGGAAACAATTTTCTAATATTTTGATCTCATTAAACATTTTTTTATAAATTAAAAATATGAAATAAAAAAATTTTCTATTCCATTGTACCGTAGATGTTCCAGTTCCCGTACATTTTTTAAAATTTCTTTTACAATAATTTAAATCAATTTTTGAAAATAGTCTTGGTGTTTAATTATATTAGTTCACCTAAACAGATTTAAGCAAATAGTTTTTTTTTTAAATTTTTATTGTTAAAATAAAAGTGGACAGAAACTGGAACATCGACGATTTTTGTAAAAATCAAAATGAAACTGAGAGTTCTCGAAGAGAAGTTTTGAACTGAAAATCACTATGATTTTAGCTATACGAACTGACTCGTCAATTGGATTTTTTATGATTATTAAGAACAAACGAGGAACAAATTGCGTTCTTAATAACAAACCTAAAATTCAGCAACCTTGCTAAAATATATACTCCATCAGATCTTTTCGCTGAATTCCAAAATAAATCCCTAACAATTATTCCTCTAAAACAGTTTGCTTTTAATAAAATAAAGCGAAGCTAAAGATCAAATTTTCCATTTATCGTTCGGACTGGTAAGGGGCCGTTAAATTATTACGTGAGCCTGTTTTAAAGATACGTCTAAAATTTGACCAAAATTAATTTTTTTCTAAACTACCAGAAAATTCTCGGGGCAGTCAAAACGGTTTTGCAAAAAAAGATTTACAACTTATCCAGGTTTTAGAAATAATGCTTTTAATTTTTCGAAAGTAATGAAAATTTTGATTAGTGACCAAAAATCTGTGATTGCATTCGTGCAAAACTCGAGCAGACATTAAACATTTTTGCCAGCTACCCCGGGTAGCTATTTTGGTAGCTCGAAAGTTAATAGTTAAATGGCCCCTAATGCAACATATTTTTGTTAAAATTTTGAAATACGTTTAATATAGGTAAACAATAGGGTCTGATTTTTTTTTTAATTTTTGTTGATTTTTTCAAATTACTGGTCCTTTTGAGAGATAATATGATTTTTGGTGAGAATTTTTGATTTTTTATACTATTTCAAAATCAAATTCTCCACTAGTTGAGGTATTTAAGCAATATAATAATCAACTATGACTCATTTTTGCTGTTTTTCGTCTAACCGATCTGCCGAAGTGATTTTTTTACTAAATGTTTTCTTAATATCTTTGTTTTTATTAATTGAGTGCTTGGATACAACAAGGGGACGTACGCTCGGCGAGCCGCTTTAAAGTCAGTCAAAGGTACCGTAAAGTGTAAAAAATGAAAATTCAAAATTTTGAATTTTGAAAACTGCCATCTTATAGGAAATAAAAATGCGCATCTTTTTTTTCTTTGAAATTTCTTTGAATAATTAATATTTTTATATGATAATGGAAAAAATGTGATTAATTTTCAATGTTAAATTTCATTGAATTTTAAAATATAAATCGTCGTATCTCCGACAAAAATGAATGAATTCTTTTGATTTTTGGTATACAAATGCATTTGGACCTATAGAAGACGACAATATCACGAAAATGTTAAAAGCAATTAATTGTTTATTGATTTTTAATTGTTAATACTGACCGGTCAAAAATAATTTTTTCTTATCTTTGGCTGCAAAAAGTATGCGGGGAACTTTAAAATTCAAACAACTTCCAGTGAGACATTTGTTTATTACGATGTGAAGAAGTTTTCTGTAAAATTGCAGAAAGATTAGTTTTATATTTACAGAAATACAATAGTTTTAAGAAAAATGCTCGCGCCGCCAACGATCCCTACCGCACAGATTTTAAGGTTAGTTGCACGGTAAAGTTTTATTTATGTATAAATATATGTGTGTAATATTTGCATTGAATTATTTATTAACTATTACATACTATACAACATAGGTATACACTTTTTTAATAATTTTGTAAAATATTATGTGTATGAATATAAATATTACAAATAATTCTAGCAGTATTTAATTAAATTAAGATTAATATCTGTGTTAAAAGAAATGTTTTTATTTTAAACATTATTAAATTTATAAAACGTTTTTAGATGTTAATATTATTGTTTAAAAACTAGGAAAAATTTTTATTTTAAACAATTTTTGACAATTGTGATATTTTGAACTATTATATTTTAATAGATATTATTAGATTATACTAGATTCAACATAGTATGTAATTAAAAAGGACATTAAGTGTTGTTGCAGCATATTGAGTAATAGTTTTAATACATTATAGAGTCGATAAAAATTGAGTTGTAAATAAACGATATACTAACAAAAATAAATATCAGAAATAATCTTAATTTAATTAAATATTGCTAGAATTATTTGTAATATTTTTATTCATACACATAATATTTTACAAAATTATTAAAAAAGTGTATACCTATGTTGTATAGTATGTAATAGTTAATAAATAATTCAATGCAAATATTACACACATATATTTATACATAAATAAAACTTTACCGTGCAACTAACCTTAAAATCTGTGCGGTAGGGATCGTTGGCGGCGCGAGCATTTTTCTTAAAACTATTGTATTTCTGTAAATATAAAACTAATCTTTCTGCAATTTTACAGAAAACTTCTTCACATCGTAATAAACAAATGTCTCACTGGAAGTTGTTTGAATTTTAAAGTTCCCCGCATACTTTTTGCAGCCAAAGATAAGAAAAAATTATTTTTGACCGGTCAGTATTAACAATTAAAAATCAATAAACAATTAATTGCTTTTAACATTTTCGTGATATTGTCGTCTTCTATAGGTCCAAATGCATTTGTATACCAAAAATCAAAAGAATTCATTCATTTTTGTCGGAGATACGACGATTTATATTTTAAAATTCAATGAAATTTAACATTGAAAATTAATCACATTTTTTCCATTATCATATAAAAATATTAATTATTCAAAGAAATTTCAAAGAAAAAAAAGATGCGCATTTTTATTTCCTATAAGATGGCAGTTTTCAAAATTCAAAATTTTGAATTTTCATTTTTTACACTTTACGGTACCTTTGACTGACTTTAAAGCGGCTCGCCGAGCGTACGTCCCCTTGTTGTATCCAAGCACTCAATTCCTTTTTCGTTTTTGATTTAAGTTCTCTAATCAGTTAAATTCTTCAGGTATCTGCTTAATCTGAAGACTATTTGTTATAAATAATCTGACGAGTGAAAATAATAATCTTTAAATTATTCAACTTTTTTCGTTTTCAAATATGGAAATTTATTTGCAGAAAAATAATGATAATTTTATTTTAATTATGCAATTAAAATTTTAATTCTTATTATTATTATAAATTTGAATTATTAATTTTTATTTTATCTTAATTTCATTCACTTTCTATTTATCTGTTTTGAGTTTTTTTACTGCAAAATTTTGAATAATTATTAAACATTTTTAATTAGCTTAAAGAAATTAAAGAATATTAATTAAAATGTTAGATTTCTTTAGTAAAAATATTACTCACTATGTAAATTATTAAATAAATAATCAGGGTGGTCACATGTCAGTTAAGTCAGGAAAATGACTGGAAAAAAAATTTTTGGCAGGGAAATTAAGAAATTTGAGACTTTTTTCGATTTATTTTCAAAAATTGCGACTTTTTTAGACTTTTTTGCAAATTATTTTTGAATAATTTTTTAAGATAATTAAATTTTTCAAATACATCTAAATAATAAAAATCTGTTTGAATAATTTAAATTTTGTAAAATTTAATTGAAAATAATTAATTTTATGCAAGTGTTTTGTTACAATTTTTAAAAATTAACTTTTAAAGAATTTTAATTGCAAATTTTGAAAATAATAATTTAATTACCAAAGTTTTAATGAAAAATCTTCAAATGTAAAACTTAAAAATGAAAATTAATGAAAATTAGCTTCTAATTTTTTTAAAATTTAATATTTTCAAAAATATTCAATTTATGTTTTTAAAAATTCAAATACTTAGGTACAAAAAAGTAACATTTTAAAATTATTTTTAACATTTTGGAGAAAAAATTAATGTTTAAAGTTTTTAATTATAATTTATCAAAATATAAAGTAGTTTTTTTGAATTATACAAAAATTCTTTTAAGTAATTAAATTAAGTATTTTCGATAAATTCCTTCAAAATATTTTCAAAAACTAATTTTTAGAATTGTTTTATCATAATTTTTTAAGATTCAATTATTTTGGAACAAAGTAAATAAAAATTTTGAAAATTCACTTTTTTAGACTTATTACAATTTTAGAGAAATCCTGGTCATATTTATAATTAAAATTCTTCAAAAATTTGATTATTTTTATTTATATTTTTCAAAAATTTAAATTATTTTTAATAAAGATTTTACCAAATTTCAATTGTTTGGAAATTTTTCAATCTTAAAAGTTTAATGTTTCAAAACTGATTTAAAAATATTTTTAAAAAAATTAGTTGTAAGAATTTTTTATTATAATTTTTTAAAAATATTATACCTTAATAGCTTGAGAAAAAAACATGGACAGTTGCAATTATTATAAAAAATTGAATTTTTGTATTTAAATAATTGAATTCATGTAGGGTTATAATTATAATTTTTAGAAATGATTAAAATTGATAAATTTTACTCATTATCCGTAAACTTTCATTTTTTTCTGTAAAAAAAATTTTGTTAGCCAAAATAATTTTAATGTCATCAGTAAATTGTCAGGGAAATGTCAGGGAAATTGATAAACTGAAAATTGTGACCACCCTGAAATATTGTTTCTAACACACGCTCCGAAAGTACACAATTTCTTACGTGTGTCTTATTCGTTCCAAGAAATAAAATTAATTCAATTTACTTTCTGTAAATAAATTCTTCTTTTTTTCAATTTTCAAATCGAAAAAATATAAATTTGAATTTATATATCAAAAATATAGAATTTTGAAACATTTTCAAAAATTTAAAACATTAGATAAATAAATAAAAAATACTTCAGATTAAGTAGAGATTTTTTTTGAGTTTCATTAATATTATTTCAAAAAAAATTTGAGGAGTGTAGAGTGTGTGCTTTTAACCAGTGATCTTTACAGACGACCTCATGGCCGAGAGAGAGAAAAACAAATTGCTCCAGGAGGAGATGGAAGCCACCCTGCATGACATCCAGAACATGTAGAGCGTGTTGCGTTGCAGAAAAAGGCTGTTTGGCGTGCTTTTGTGGTGCAAAAACATAAACAAACAAACCATTTATATAACATAACGGACTAAATGCAGTATTTAGGCTAGCCTCCTTATCCTCCTGATCACCCGTCCGATGTGCGTGTGATATTTTTGTATGCCTTTGCGTGATTGTTGAAAACACATGAGAGTGATAGAGAAAATTAGTGAGATAAAAGAATGATTAAAATACAGACAAAATAAACAAAAAAAAGCCGAACATAAAAGAAGGAAGTAATGCACAATGAAAAAAACTATTGCTCGCGTATTTCGCTTCCATTCCTCAAAATAATAATAATAATCATAAACTAGCGGCTCAATTCGGACGAGATATGGCACTTAAATTTTAAATATTTTCACGAATTAAATATATTCGCTAGATAGATAACTATGCTCACAAAAAATGCATTTAATTGTACATTCCCTTTTTTCTTGAAAAAGAATAATTTTTTTGTTAATAAAAAAATAATATTTAGAAAAATGCATATTTAAAAATTCTTGTGTTGCGATAATTTATACAATTTCTTTCTTTTGTTTGTTTATTTTTTTTACAAATATTATTGTCTCCTTCAGCTAATAGTTTTCTTTTTCCTTTTCCATAAATAAGATAAAATGAAAATACAAATTTTGAGTAAATTTTAAATTCGAATGAGTGTGAGAAAATTTTTTTTTGTCTGAGTTTGTTTTGAGGCCGATTCTCATCCCGATTGAGCCAATGTCGAGAAATACACAAACTGAACGCGCCTGTAAATAATGAACGATACGAATATAATCATCATGTGGCTGATTTGAACTTCACAATGGGAAAAGGGAACGTGTGTTCACTGTACCGAGAATTGATCGATTTCCGGAATTTAATCGCGTTAAATGTGGGTACACTTTAGATATACACGCGGAACGTTGGAAAAGAAGGAAAAAAATGGTTGATCGGAAAAAAGAAAATATGAAAAAAAATTTATCTTTGATACTACGAGCAATTTTATACACTGCCCTGTTTAAATTAGCTTCTGCGAAGCAGTAACGCATTCCCTGCTATTAGACATTTAAAACAAATATATTTCACGCAGTCATTCCAAACGAAAAATTTGCAATTTAAATTTTTCTAAAACAGTACATATTTTAAGAATTTTTTTAATAATGAATCCATATTTATTTAGGGGCCATATACAAACTATCGCCTCGAACTAGGTCCGTAAATACCGTAAAGGTCCGTAAAAGTCAGTTTTTTTAAAAAAATGGCCGTAAAGTCCGTAATTTAATATTGAAAAAGCACGAAAAGTTCGTAAATTGTACGATATAATTTGGAGAATTTTAGAGAAATTACAAATGATTGCAGAAATTCAATTATTTTCAAAAAATAATAAAATTCTACGCAAAAATTCAATTATGTTCAAAATTTATTAAAAATTCTCGTCAAAATTTCAATTATTTTTAGAAATAATTAAATTCAATTTATTATTTTCGAAAATTTTAATAAAATTCTTGGCAAAATTTCAATTATTTTCAAAAATTTTCCTCAATTCAATGATTTTTAATATCTACTATTTTAATAAAATTTTCCATAAGAATTCAATTATTTAAAAAACAACTTTAATAAAGTTCTATCCAAACCTTTAATTATTTTCATAAAATAATAAAAATTTCACAAGAATTCAATGATTATTGTCGTAAATAATAAAATTCTTTTTATGAATTCAATTATATTCATAAATAATAAAATTCTTACATTGATTCAATTATTATTTTCGTAAATAATAAAAATTTTTTTTAGGAATTCAATTATTTTCATAAATAATAAAACTCATTACATTACTATATCATTATTCTTAAAAATTTTAATTTAACATTCGTCAAAAGAATTTAATTATTTAAAAATTTATTGATAAAATTCTTCATGAGAATTAAATTGAAAGAAACATGCAATTATTCAATAAATTGTTTTTTTGTAGATTAATTGAATTTTAGTAGAATTTTCTAATTGTAAAAATTGATTTAAAAATGAATTTCAGTTAAAATTTCAGATTATAATTAAATATTAAATTTAGAATCTAGCGTGAATTTTTAGAAATAATTGAATTTTGAAAAGGTTTCAAATTAAAATCTTTGAAAATCTGAATTTTTCATATTTTTATTTTTTTAACTAACAATTCTGTTGAATTAATTTTTTTTTTTAAAAGTTTAATTGAAATTTTTTAAAAATTATTTCAAGTTTTTATTTTAATTGAAGAATTTACGAATAATTGAAATTTTGTAAAATTGAATTGGAAAAAAATGAATTTGAAAATTCTCAAAGAAATTTTTCAAAAATTATTAAAAATAATGCATTTGTAGAAGAATTTTAGTTGGAAATTCTAGAAAATAAGAAGACTCGGAGTTATCGATATCTTCATGTTTTATAATTTTAATAATATTCTTAGAAGTTGTTGAATTTCAAATTTTCAAATTTTAAAAATCCTAAACGTGACAGTATTGAAATTCTCGTAGAATTTTCTAATAAAAATTGATTCAAAAATGAATTTCCGTTAAAATTTTAAATAATAATTGAATATTAAAAGCAACATAGCGTGAATTTTTAGAAATCATTGAATTTAGAAATTATTTTTTTTAAAAAAGTTTAATTGAATTTTTTTTATATTATTTGAACTTTTTATTTTTCAATATTTATTTAATTGAAGAATTTACGAATAATTGAAATTTCGTTAAATTGAATATTGTAAACAAATGGATTTGAAAAGAACTTTTTCAAAAATTATTAAAAATAATAGATTTAAAGAAGAATTTTAGTTAAAACTTCTAGAAAATGATAATTAAATTGATAATGATTTTGAATACTCGGTGGATTCATTATTAAAAAATTCTTAAGATCCTTACACTATATTATAAAAAATGCAACAAAAAAATCATCACTGTTTCTAAAACATTTCATGCAACAAAAATTATAATTTTGTTTTTGCAATATTCCATTACAATTAGGACATTAATTTAAATACATATAAATAATAATTTATCAAAACGATAAGAGAAATTTTAAAAAGATTATATTTGGTGCTTTTTTCTAAATGTAAAGTTAAAATTTAAAATGTTTATTTCGATTATTTTATGGAATGATATTTCATTTGGTTTGTTATTTACACGTAAAGAACTACGTGTAATTTTCGATGAAATTAAAGAATTCTATATTTGAGTAAATAATTTATTAAAATAATTTACTATATGTAATTAATTAACTTTTTAGGATAAATAATTTACTTATTTGGTTAAATATTTTTCCTTTTAGTTTAATAGGTTTACTATAAATAATAATGTTCTGTTTGTAAAAAACAATCAATTATTTCAATCAAATAATTTTCCCTGAGACTAAATAATTTACAATAAAAAATAATTTTCCATTTGAATCAATAATTTATTAGTTGATTAAACAATTTTCCATATTTTCTAAAATAATTTACAAATAGATTTAAATAATTTTATAAAACTTAATTCAAAAAGAAATGAATTAATGTTCATTTTAAAATACATTTGAATTTAACTAAATTAATTAGCTTCAAATGTTTCACATAAATTCCGTATAAAACCAAAATTTTCTTCACTTTTTCCCGTCTGTTCTAATTTTTCGTTTAAAATTAAAAGTAAATGAAAATAAATTAAATTCAATAAAATTGTGATTTCGACGATAAAAGTAAAAAAAAATTTCAATCCAAAATTACGGTAATTGGTGATTAAATTTGAAATAATGGGCATTTTTAAATTGGTGCTTGGATTATATATGAAAAATAAGTATTTTGTCATGATTAGTGAGTGGAGAAAATACTTTACAATTCTGCGTCCTATTATTATTCCTATTTACTTAAAAAAGCGCTAAAGATTGAGTTGTTGTTTTAGCATATTAATGTGACTTAATATTAAATGAATGGAATGATAATAACTATCACTAATATTACTGTAATAACGATATATTACTATTATAAATATGTTTATAATATATATATATGTATATGTATATATTATATATATATTATTTTGAATTTGAACCTTTATTTTTGTGTTATAAATCTTTTTGCATTTTTTTTTAATTTTATGTTTTCCTTTTTTTTAACCCTTCGTCACACACCTTGGAAATAATTACACTGTATAGAGGGAATCTCCTTACATTTAAAAAATAATGGAGCACGAAACAAACTTTATATAGTTGACAAATATTTTCAACTTTAATAATAAAATAAAATTTTTTTTATTGTTTAACAAGATGTGGAACGTTTCCCTGAACATTGCATTCAGAACTCAAATATTTTCCACATTATAAAATAGAGGAAATAAATAAAGTAGAGGAAATCTATCGACTTTTTAGATTTTGACTTGATTCAACTGTTTTAAAACTTTATAATCTAAAGTAATATTAATTTGAATTTATCACTCGGTGGTAATATTTTTATTATTTTTATATTTTATATTATTTTTGAATTTAAAGATTTATTAAGTTTAAATTTAATATTTATATATTTAATTTAAACTTAATAAATCTTTAAATGTTTACTAATGTGTTCAGGAGCAATGAGTCGAATTTTAAAATTTAAATAAAAGTATTTTTAAAGTAATTTATTTATTTATTTTTAAAGTAATTTAAAAATACAAAGGAATCCCTTAACAGGTGTGCGACGGAAAGTTAACGTAGGGTCAGGTGCGGTAAATGCAATCAGGGGCTAATTACGAACAGTAATTATTTCAGCTCATTTAAAAATTTTAAAAATAAGTTTCTTTTTGCCTAAAAAATTGAAGATTCAAAAAGACCATTCTTACAGTATTTTATCTCATATTTGAGTAAGAACAAAATGAAAATTTATATTATTTAAAATTATTATTAACAGAAAGTAACTTTGATTTTTGCGCTTTGAAAAATACGATTTAAAAAAAATTATACTGTTGGTGAAAGTTAGTAAATTTTTTTTGCATTTACCCCAGCTGACCTTAAATTTAGTATTTTTGAAAAATTATTATTTTTTTTAAATCAACATTTATCAAATTCTATTTTGATAATTTTTAAATACTAACTGTTTATTTATTAAGAAGATAATAGAATAGAAGAAAATAAATTAATAAAATTTTGTGTTGTATTCCGCATGCTATTGAGTGAGAAGTGAAGTTTTCTTCCTGACGCCAAAGGGGTAAGTACGTGTTTTTCGCGTGACTTAATAAGCATTCTTGTGATCCTAATAACCTGCTTTAAATTATATGACTAAGATTTTTCAGACTACTTTTTTACTGGGTATAATTGGTTTGAAAACAATTTAAATAAATTAAAACATTGTTAAGTTAAAGATTACATTTTACTTGTAAAATAATAATGTGCGAGTTAATTTTTCTTGTAAATTTTATTATGCATATTATTACTTTCTCTTTTTTTTTAATGGACTACTCTCGACTATTAGATTAGCTTTTAACAACATTTGCTGTTATTTTATTATATTATTAACTTATTAGCCATCGCTGCGGCTAAAAAAAATTAAATTTTTTTTCTGTCTATT